CCCTGGATAGCCAGGCTCGGGCCTCATACCTGTTAGCTGCCTACAGAAGGGACGAAGGCAGGTAGGACCTAATCCCTGGGGCCGCCCCGGCAGAAAGAGGACGAAGGGTCCAGCCTGCCGGCCACTCAGGGGAGGCCTGCCCGGGCACCAGAGCCACCGGGATTGGCCTCAGGTACAAAACACCCGACAGCGGCTGGGCCCTGCCTCACTGGGAACACCTCGCACTGCTGTGGGCAGAGCTGGGCAAGGTGCCCAGGAGGGAGGCCAGAGTCCCCTTGTTAGATGGGGTGCTGGTTGACCCATCCCGGACCTGACCCCTGTCTCTGGCTGTGCCTGTGTCAGTAGGAAAGGCTGAGGGACTGGGGAAAGCACCCCCATAGTGCACGAGGGCTGCCTGGGCGAATGGTGGGCACCTGTCCATCTGGGGGAACACACCTGTATAGCCTGGGAGTTTGGGGTTTTTTGAGACAGGGTTCACTAGGTTCAGGCAGGCCTTAGCTTCGTAGCAATCCTCCTGCCTCAGTCTCTGGACTGATGGGATTACAGGTGTACACCACCAAGCCTGTGCAGGCCGGCCAATGGCCTCCATGGCTGACCCCCCGGGCAAGTCCCGGGGTCTGGAGGAAAACCCCACCTCCGTCAGCTTTGGAACAGTGCCCCACCACAAGGCAACCTAGGCAGGCTCATAGGGCCCTGCTCCTGTACGCCACTGTGTGGACAGGCCACAGGGTAGACGGGAGGCGCCACACAGGTGAAGCCAGGAAGGGGGCAGACAGCTGGGACTGACAGGGAGCCCAGGTCCTACCTGAAAGGGTCCAAAGGGTCTTTAGCGTCACAGACATCCGCGTGGCCGTGACAGACACAGCGGCCGCCGATGCTGATGTCCTTTATGCTGTAGTAATACTGCAATCCAGAGCCATGAGCTACCAGGCTGCTGCCTGACCACACTGCCCCCGCCTCCACCCACTGTGCCCACCTCCACCCTGGGTCGCGGCCGGAGGCTTCTGCAGGCCAGCCAGCTCCGCCTGGACCTCACCCAGCCCAGCTGGAGCAGCCTCGCTCCCTCGCTCACTCACCCGGCGGGTGACAGTGGGGTCCCGCAGGGCCTTGCCCATGAGGTGGCCCAGCAGAGTGTTGGTGCGCAGAAACCGCAGCCGGACGTTGGTGGCTTTGGTGAAGGCTCGCAGCAGCGGGGAGTAGGAAAAGTTCATGGCTCCCGGACGCCCATTCACCAGGGACACCACAATCTGCGGCGGGGTGGCGGGCAATGCTGGCTGAGCCACACGCCCAACTGCGTCCACTGCCGCTGCTCCACCCGCCCTGGGGCCCACCTCGCCATTCTCCAGGGGCACTATGCGCGAATACTCAGTGGTGCAGATGGTGTCGTCATCCCGCGTGATTCGCTCCAGCGTCTGTGGCCCAAATCGCTCCAGGCAATCCGTCTTGGAGGCTGCAGAAACAAACTGGAGGGTGAGGGCAGGGGCCACAGCCAGCCCGCAGCCACTGGGGCCCAAGGCAGCCCCTCTGCTCCCTCCACCTCCCAGAAAGGGGAGTGGAGTCCCGTGGCTGGGTCCCACATAGCCCTGGCCCTCGGGGGTGCTGGCCAAAGAGCAGAAATCTGGCAGGTGGCGGTACCCTGGAGCCTGCCACGCTCAGAGGCAGGACTGGCACAGCTGCACCAGCCCACCAGAGGGCAACCCTTCCTCATGTCCCTTTCAGATGACCACCCTCCGCCCTCTCTGAGGACAGTCCCAGCAGCCCATGAGGGAACCAGCCCCCTGGGTCTCAGGAACATGTGGAGGGCCTGTCCTATGGCAGCTACTGTCTCCTGCCAAGATGGCAAACCCAGAGAGCCCATGGCCAGGCTACTGACTCCAACACCCCTAACACAGGTTAACTAAGCTGGCAGGATGGGAGCCCGGAGCTGCCAGAGCCACACTGGCACCAAAGAAGCCGCCGACCACGCTGCCGGTGCAGAGGCACCAGGAGATGGTTCAGAGCTTCCGGGCACCACCAGCACTTGCACAAGTCCTGCCCGGAGGGGTGGGGCACAAGCCTTCAGGAGGCTGGAGCTGACAGTGCTGCCCGGAGGCAGGCAGGAGCGCAAGGCTCGGCACCAGGGACCTTGAGCAAGCGTGGCAACGGCAATCACGTAGCAGCTCCACTCCCAGACCTAGAACACTCACAGGCGAAGAACTGCCACGGCTGGTAGGTGAGGCCGAAATCTGTGGAGCGCTCCAGCACCCAGAGGTCTGGCCGAGGGGAGTTGGCGAACTTGATGAGCACGTAGGCCACGTGAAAGACCTGCACGTGGAGCAACAAGGATTCAGGACACAGGGACCCTTGCATGCTTCGGGGCTGGCCTGCCCGTGGATATGAGGCCTGAGGGCCACAGCGCAGCAGCCCCTTGCACAGCCCCTTCCGAGGAACCCTGAGGAAACCAACTGTGCCACAGGGCAAGGCCTGCGCTGGGGATAGTGGAGGACAGCAGTACCCTGATCCTGGAGCTGGCTTAGCCCAAGTCCAGAGCCCCAGCCTCCTCCCTGAGAGCTCAGGGAACCCCGGTCCCTTGAGCCCCGTGGCTGCTGATGGGGCCTGGGCAGGGCACACTGGGGGAACAGCCTGACCTGGCTGACACAGAAGCCCTGAGGTCAGCCAGGGTCCCCGAAGCCCTGATGTCCATCTAGGACAAGTGACCAGACCCCAAATGCCCCAGCTCCTAGCACATACCACTGGCGACTTCTCCTGCCACAGATCCTGTCCCAGCCTTGCCCTATCAACACCTTCACCTGCTCGCTGTCAAAGGGCACCCTGCCCCAAGAGCACAGTGGCTCAGAGGAAGCTGGAGTCCAGCCTTTCCACTAGGACACCCTTTTTTTAAAAAAAAAATTTATTTATTTATTTATTTATTTATTTATTTATTGTGTGTGTGTGTGTGTGTGTGTGTGTGTGTGTGTGTGTGTGTGTGGCCAGCTCAGCCCACCAGGGGTCGGGCTGGCTGGCATGTGGTGCTGGGGATTGAACCGCAGTCGCTGTCCTTTTGCTTAGCTTAGCTTGTTGTAAGTAGGTGCTTTAGACCACTGAGCCATCTCACCAGCCCTAGGACACCCTTTGAGTGACACTGAAAATCAGCCCTCCCAGATCTCAGTCTGGCAGGCTGGAGCGGGGGGACCCAACAGGCGGGCTGTGGCTTAGCTGTGGCCTGGATGCTCCAGGGCAGGCCATAGCCCAAGGCAGGCGAGCTGCTTCCCCAGAGTACCAGAACCCACTTCTCTGCCCAGATAGCCTTGGCCTGCTTTCCCCTGGTGCGGACCCAACCCTGACCAAGAAAGGACCACAGCTTGCTTTCTGTCTTCCTGACCAAAGCACAGTGACCCGGGACATGGCCACAAACCTCCCCGAGGGCCTGGTGGCCCCGCTGAAGCTCCTCAGCCTCACCTGTCCCAGCCTCACAAAGCAGGCACTCTGGATGGCTCCCCAGGAAGTGCTCCTTGGCTTGAGCCCACCTGCCCATACGTGGTCCCAGGCAGCCCCAGGACAGAAGGCCCTCACAGCCCTGTCCCCTCAGGCCCCACTCCTGCAGTCCCTCCTCTGCCTTCTCCACCACAATCTCTACTCCATCCATTCACAGTGACACCCTGTGGGCTTCCCCACCTGAGGGCTGAGATCCCCCATGAGGCAACAGACATGCCATGAGAGGCCGCTTCCCTGGGGAGGCTGGGCCAGGCTCATCCCCACCCACCACAGGACCAAGCTCCCAGGCGAGCCCCTACGGGGTGGAGGGCACCCGAGAGGTGGCTCCTGCCCCATGATCCTGCCGGGAACTGTGGTCCCTACACCTTCCCATCAGCCTGGAAGTTCTGAGGGCAGATGCTCAGCTCTGCTAGAGCAAAAGCAATGACCAGGGGACAGGGCCACTGTCACTGTTCAGAATGGCTTTATCCTGCGCAAGTCACAGCACCAGGGAGTCGCAGCTGCGTAGGCAGGGCCTGATCTGACCAGCACGGGGCCGATGACTCCTGGCAATTGCTGCTCCAGATTTTCTGCCCCAAGAGATGCCAGCTGGCAATGCTGTCAGACAGGCCAGCCCCACATCCCAGGGCCCTGGGTGTCCTGCATGAGGCTTACTGGGAGGCCTTCTACCTCAGCGAAAGGAGCCTGGAGCTACTTGGTACCCCATGTGGGACCATGGATCCCAGGCAGCTCCAGCCCAGAGAGGCACAGATGCCCAGGTGAGGCAGGGCAAGACCCTAGGACCCCAAGTCAGGGCCGGGGTGCTGCCATGGTGGGAAGGCCAGACATGCAGGGACGCGGGTCTGGGCCAAGCGCAGCCTGCCCCGTGGGGGCACAGGCCTATTCAGCGGCTGCCAGGCTCTGAGCTCATCCTCCCATCCCCGCCCAGTGGGGGAGGGTTCCAGTGGGAGAGGATCCCACACTCAGGCCCATGGCTCATCCTGCACCCTGTTGGAGTTTGGGGGCTGGGACGGAGGCAGGGCAGGGTCTGTGTGAGGAGGGCCAGGACGTGGGGACCCTCCGGCTTGTAAGACACGGAGCCCAGTATGCCAGCTGCCCTGGCACTGTGGGCAGCCCAGCCCCAGAGAGGGCTCTGAGGAGATTAAACATCCCAGTGGAGCCCGTGGGACCCACCCCCGCCTTTCCCTGAGCAGGGGCCCCAGGCTGCACCCTCCTGGTCACTCTGCCCTTCCCTGGCCGGCTGGCCCCGCATTTTTCCCAGCTGAGAGCACTTTCACAAATATTGACTCCGAGAAGCTGATGGGCAGGATAACAGGGACGGAAACTTCCCACACGGGGGACACACTTGAGACCGGGACCTTCAGCCCACTGTTCATTCGAGCCTCTGTCAGACAAAGTCCTAGACAGCTGGACTTGAAGGTCTGACAGCTACAAAGGTGGTGGTGGCAGGGAAGGTGGTGCCTAGGTGCTCTGACCCGCTCCCAGGCCGCCGCATGCCCCTGGCATGGCCCTGTGCAGCGCAGACCCCGGCCTCCTGGACAGCGCCTGGCCCTCCTCGCCCTGTTCCACTCCGCTGCCAACTCCAGCTGACCTTTCCGCCGCTACATAGTTCTGTGTACAAGGGGAAAAAAATGTCTTTTAAAGTAAAAGCCAAACAAAAGCCGCTGGTTATTTTTAAAAATCTAGCTATTTTGGGGCAGGCATGTCTCCAGGCCAGCAGCCACTGCGCCCCCTGCCCCCACCCAGCCAGACCTCAGAGGGCCAAGGCTGCTAAGGAGGGACTCTGCCCCACAGTCCTGGCCCCACGAGGTCCCTGAGAGTCCAGGGGCATAGAGGCCAGCGCCAGGGCAGGAGTCCAGGGCAGGTTGCAGGTTTTGGGGCTAAGAGGGCCTAGGGAAGCCACCTCCACTCCCTGGGCACCGAGCAGTGGGCTCAGGCAGGGAGAGCGATGGTAAGAGGAAGGGCTCTCTTGCAGAGACACACAGATGGTCCCCAGAGTGCACCACACACTCCAGAGCTGGGAAGGCCAAGGGTGAGGGTGCTCAGGAGCAGGTCAGAAGTCACACCTATCTATGAGGGGCCCTGGGGACACGGGGGATGGGTGAACCTGGAGGCCACAGCCTCCTCACAAAGGGGTAGACTGAGGCTGGAACCACTGGGGAAGAGAGCAGGGCTTTGTCCTGTACCCAGGGCCCAGCCCTCTTGGGCCACCTGGGGGCTGGGGAGACCAAGGCAGGGCTCGAGCGCAGCCGCAGTACACATCCTGGGGTGAGGGGCCGGCCCCACCCACCAGGGAGGAGGCGTGACTCAGCGGACAGTCTGTGGCTCACCCCATCCTGCAGGAAGAACGCCCTGTGCCAGCCCAGGTCCCAGCCAGGGTCCCAGCAGGGCTAGGTGGAGGTGGGAAGCCCTTACTCCCACCAGGGGTCCAGGTTAGTGCCCCAACTGCAGCCCCTCAGGTCCCTGACCTCTTGACGGCACCTCCAGTCTCTAGATGTCCAGGCCAGCCCTGGAGGCCCTAAGTCCACCTGACCCACCCAAACCCCTGTCCTTCCTCCTAGGCAGAAACCCCACGTGGACACCTGTTAACATAGTAGGCAGGGCGGGGTGCTCACTCAGGCCACCAACAGGGTAAATAAATAAGCATGGTCATCTATCTCTACAACTATTCCGGAAGCTGGAAAACAGGCCCGGGGTGGACCCTGTCCCAAGTGATGGGGGAAAGGAAAAGTGACATAGAGGTCAGCCAGTGAGCCTGCCACCAGGAAGACAGCGAAAGCATGGGCTCCGTGAGGGCAGTCAGAGCCCCACAAGCCCCACTCTACCAGGGTGCCCAGTCTGCAGGCGTCCAGAGCAGGGCAGGAAGGCTGGGCCAGGACAGGGGCTTGACCGCCAGAGGAAGCACGTGGGGTCCCCACACCACAGCAAAGCTGGACCTGGAGTGGACTCAGTGACCCCAGACAAGCTTGGCTCCCTGCTCCTCCCCTCTGTAGCCTGGCCAGATGGTCAGCCTAGGGCCACAGGAAGTGGAGTTTACCTCAAGGGGACCCTGCAGCCGAAACCCAAACAGTTTAGTCTGTCCTGAGCGGTTTGCTGGGAGTCCATGCAAGGGGGCTGTTTGAGCACACAGGAGACAGAACGCTTCCCAGGCTGCCAGAGCCCGGGTCCAGGCAGGGTGATGGGGCAGCTTTACGTGCAGAGTGCGTGCAGTGTGCCGCGAACAGCTGCATTTGGTGACCATGGGACAGAGTGGCGGCAGCAAGAGAGGCTGGGAAAGAAGGGCCCTCAGCCCCAGGCACTGGCAGCCAGGCAGCTACTCCTCTGCCTGCCGATGGGACAGGGGCGGCGGGGCCAAGACGGGCAGCGCAGCGGGAGGGGGCTGCCATCTCCCTGTGTAGGGGGGGCTGCCCAGGAATGCTACCAGGACACCTCGCTCCATCCCCCAGGAGCCGGGCAGCAGGACGAGCCTGGCCCCGCTCTGCACCTGTCCTGACCACAGCTGTAACCGAAGCCGGGTCACGGCTGTACTTCCTGTCACTTCCCTGGACAGCCCTACTGACCATCTCCGGGCACTGGCCACATGGCTGAGTGCCCAGCCGAGCCCAGGAAGCCATGCATTGGCCTCGGCCACGTAACCGCCAAGCCAACAGCAGCCAGGGCCTAGAGGCCTCCAGCGGCCTAGGGTGGGCAGGGCCTGCAGCCAGTACGCCCCGAGCCCCCTAGCCTGGGGCACCCAGAGGCCCCAGCCTTGGCTTCCAGCCAGCCAGCCCATATCTCCTTCAGACGCCAGTGCTGGGACCTGCTTCCTCCACACTGGCGCTGTGCTCTTCCAAATCTCTGCCTCAGTGACCCCAAGTGTCCGGGAAGGACTCTCACTTCCCGGGGGTCAGGAGCGTCACCAATGCTGTCTGTGCCTCCCCACAACCGCCTCTGCTGGGGTGCACCATCTCCTCCTGCCTGTGGCTCCCCGTTCTCAGGGCACAGCCGCTCACCCTGGTACTTCCACTCTGCACAGACTGCTCTTTTCCCACCCCGGCTCCTCAGCCCTGCAGCTCTGGGACTCTGGGACTGGGACAAGGCCGGTTTCACCTGAGCCACCAGCATGCAGGTAAGAACAAAGCGGGGGCCTCCCTGCCTGCGAGGGGCCTGGCATCCTTCCATTTCTTACCCAGACCAACCTGGGGAGGGGGGTTGACTCAACAAGGAAACTGGAAGAGGCTGCTGGGAGAGCGCCTGCGTGGCTAGGCCGCCTGGGCTGCTACAAAAGGCGGGGGGTGCAGGCAGACCTGGCCTGCTGTACCAGGGTGCCAGGCTGGGGCAGGACCGGGCAGGGTGCTTCAAAAAGGACCCTAGCACCAACCTACACACGGCATCAAAAGCACTCTTGTTACCTGGGCAAGGTCTGCGTGAGGCTCTGGAGGGGAAGCCGGGGCCCACAATCTGCCCACTCAGCCCCAAAAGCTCCCTGAGGACCCAAGGAGTCCTCAAGAAAGAACCTCCCTCTGACCCCTGAACAGGTCAGCAGGGGCGCAGGAAACGGCTCCCTGAGTCACTGGTCACAGGCAGGCAGCCTCTTCCTACAGCCTCTCCCCTACAGAAAGGACCTAGGAGGCCCCAGCCCAGGCCCTCCCCGGGGTCTTGTCCAGGGGCCTAGATGCCCCTAGCTGTGTCCACAGAGGCCACAGGCAGGTGCCCACCACCCATGCACAAGACAAGAGCAGCAGGCAGCCCAGCCCGCCATCCCAGGCCTGCCTGCCCTCACAGGAAGCCATCTACGCTGTACCAGCCACCCCCACTGCCTTCCTAGGGCATCCGCTTCAATCCCAGAACAAAGGCAGTGGCCCAGCCCAGGCCAGGCCAGTTTCCTGATGAGCCCCAGCCCAGCCCAGGCCAGGCCAGCGCCTTGGCACAGAACCCACGAAGACAGAGCTGGAACCGGGTGCTGCTGCCCACCAGGCAGGCTCCCTGGGGGCCGAGACAGGGTCTCCATGGATGCATCTACACTGACAGTGAAGGGTGGACGGAAAACGCCAAGGGCCCCTCCCAAATGTACAGCGTACAGCTTGTGCAACTGAGGCTTGGAGACACAGGATGCGGCCCCAGCGAAAGCCTCTCCTGACTCGGAATGATCTAACGACCCCATTTATAGATTGGAGACTTATGGCTCATACCTAGATGCCCCCCAAGAGCCTGATGTGCTCACAGGTGGGAGCCTTGGAGGCCACTGGATTGCGGGTGTCAGGACCACCTGCTGGTAGGAGGTGAGCTCAAGGGGAAGAGGGGAGGGGTCTGCCAGGGCAGCTCCTCCCTGGCTCCTCCCTTCACTCCACTGCCAAGATGCCCTCCTCTGGCCCAGGCCTTCCTCTGCAGGATAGGAACTTCTAGAACACGCAAGCCAGGGCCCAGCCGCGTTGCCTGCAGAGGGGTTTCTGTCCCTTTCTGAACTTGTGTCCTCGCTGCAACCCAAGGTATGGAGGCCTCTCACGAACCTGGCAAGGACAGGCCCCAGGGGCAGCTAGATCCCTTTTGTCCCCAGCTGGCAGCCCGCAGGTGCCGGGAACTTTGTCTTCCAAAAGAGAGGCTCCGAGAGGGCCCAGGCCCAGGAGTGGCACCCCAGCCCACAGTACTGCCTGCATGGTGCCAGAGCTCTGCAGCCTCCCTTAGCTGCCGGGGACACCAGTCCTCACCCCTTACCCCAGTCCTCTGCCCAAAATAAACGTTTGCTGGTTGTTTTTTTTTAACCACAAAAAAACAAAACAAAAAAAAAACGTTTATTTTGGGCAGAGGACAGTTTAGTGGTCTAAGTGCCTGCATGGCAAGCGCAAGGTCGCGGACTCGATCCCTGGTACCGCATGCCATGCTGGCCCTTCCAGGGCACACTGCGCCAGCCTCCAAAGGTGCACGTGGTGGTGCACCCCTGTGATCCCAGCACTGGGGAAGCTGACAAAGAGGATCACTACAAGTACGAGCTGCATAGCAAGCCCTTGCACCAATAAATAAAAAGATTAAGAAAAAAAAAGGCGGGGCACAAAGGCCCTCTGCACAGCACAGCAGGCCAGGATCTGGGCTCACAGATAGGGGCTGGCATGGGGGGCGAGGGGGTTCCAGGCCCAGTCTCAGGTCTTACTCCCCTGATCCTGGTCCCAACAGACAACAGGGCTGCTGGCCCATTTAACAGGTGAGGAGCCCAAGGCTGAGCACCTGGCTGTAAGGAGTGGGCCACAGCGGCGTGAATCGGAGGCAGCCAGGAGTGAGGACCGGCCAGGGTCCTATTCACCTTGGCAGGTGTGCTCATCACCGGAAAAGGCCTGATCACCACTTTCTGCCCAGGAGCCTCAGAGCCTAGGGCGGGACAGCCTGGCCTGGAGCTGGAGGCCTGAACCGCACCTAGCCCCTAACTATGAAACCGCCCCAGAAACACAGGTATCCCAGGAATGCCCACTTCCGGCTCCGCATTCCTGCAACCCCTCCCACACCAGCCAGGAATTCCTTAGAGTAAACAGCAGGGGCGCAGCAGGGCTCCCTGCTTCCTGCTGAGCAATCAGCACCCCTCTCCTACCTTGCCTCCACACTGGAGAAAAAGGGACCCCTACCTGGCCCAGGTCCAGGGTGACGTTGACCTCATTGTACTGCAGGCCGCGAGACAGTGGCGGGCTCTGCCACCAGCGCTCTGTGCCATCGATGGCGTTGCTTACAGGGTGTGCCTTATTGATGTTGGAGGCTGTGCAGATGTCACAGTACTGTCCCTGCCGGGAGAAACACGGGGTCAGCAGGGGGCTGAGCAAGGGCTGCCGTCCCTCTAGTCACCCTCCTAGCAGGCTATGAATCCCAGGCCCGGTCCTTCCAGCTGCCACGGCCAACCTCATCCCCTGCAGGGCTCGGGCCTACTGCTGCTGGTTAGGGAGCCACATGAGACAGGCCTTGCGCCTGGCAGTACCACTTGGGAGAAAGCAGGAAATCCCACGGAAGTGAGAAAATCAAGCCCAGCCTCTCTGAGGAAGTGGTGTGACCTTCAGGGTAAGGGGAATTCTGCTCCAGGAAGAGCTTCAACCAGTGCAAAGGCCCTGTGGCAATGCAGCCAGGGCCACGGGCACCCCACAGGGACTCACTGGAGGTGGTATGAGATGGGAGGCCAGAAGAAAGCAGAAGGCAGAGCTGCAGATGGAAAGAGCCTGGAAAGGAGGGATTCTGACGGCCGGAAGAGCTGGGTTAGTCAATGTTCTCCCTCCCCGCACCAAGCTATGGCACGCAGGCACGCACACCCCAGGTGCTACAGGGCAGCCCGCAGGGTCAGAGGACAGGCCATGGGGTGTAGGGACGTGGACATGGCAGCTGAGGCCCAGCTTCCTGACTGCCCGCTTCCAGTCCTGCTTCCAAGCCCTGGGACAGGGCCAAGTCACAGCACCCATGAGTCTCAGTGTCCCCATCTGCAGAGTGGGGATAATGTTGCACCTGCCTCAAGCCAAGGAAGGATTAACAGATCACACAGGCTTGGCAGCTGCTCCTGTGGCAGATCAGCCACCTGCTGTGGGGCCTGTGCTCTGAGGCCAGAGGAAGCAGGGTCCTCGCCTGCTGTCCCTGGTAGAGGAAGGGAGGGGGAGGGCCCTGGCTGCTAGCCCTCGGACTGCCCCCTCCAAAGAAACCAGACCTGCTGTTCCTCCACACACAAAGGCAGCCCTGAGGACTTGGCATCCATCGATGCCCAGTCTGCAGCCAAGGCTGCCCCACCCTGCTAGGCTGGTAGGGGACCACGTACTGCAGGAGAACATGACCGTGGGAGATCCTGGCCCCCACTCCCAGGTTGAAGTAACCCCAACTTCTTAGTGCTTTCCTAGCTCCTCCTGGCAGTACAGTCCACGTGGGGCCTCCCTCGCCCCAAACCCTGTGCCTGGAAGCGAGGGTGATGGGTTGGGGAAAGAACTAAGAGCAGGGCAGGTGTGTGCCCCGTCCCGAGCCCCGGTCCTGCCAGGGGGCACTGAAAGGTGGAGTGAACACATCAGGGTAATCAGCCAGGTAACTAGGTAACTTGCATGGTGGAATAAACAAAACAGGCTGACACCTGGCAGGGTGCGGGTCAGCATCCTGGGTGGCCCAGAGCAGAGGCTTACAAGGGTGACATCTAAGTGGGCAGGCAGGAAGGCCACCAGCAGGGGCCAGGTCTGAGGCAGGGCCACCCAAATGCCCAGCCCACAGGTTCTGGGGGCTCTGTTGTCTTCAGGCCCCCAGACACATGCAGAGGGCCAGGCCAAGACCTTGTGGGCCACACTTGAGCTTAAGTGGTGAGCAGGGAACCAAAAGCAGACCCCCAGGGCTCACTGACAACCCCACGCACAGGTTCTGGCTCGGCCGGGAGTCCACAAAAAGAGGTGGGCAAGCCACCTGCTAGGCAAGTCCCAGAGGCTGGATGCTGAGGGTCCCTAGCCAGCTCTGGTCTCCTAGAAACCTAGGAAGCTCACTCTCAGCCCTCACCAGGCAACCAGTTGGTCAGAAAGGAGGGCGAGGAAGTCTGAGTGCTGCTGGAGCAGGTGCCTTCCGTGGCCAGGGCCCCCAGCAGCCCCTCTACTGGGGTGCCACTCACAGAGGACAGCTGGGAAGCCAGGTTTCCTCAGGCCTTGCCGCAGAGGGCCCTGGCTGGGGCAGAACTAGGAAGAGTAAGGGGCTGACAAGCACTTTCCCTTCCAGTAAATTACCAGCTACCCCACCCCAACACAGTCCTCTGATGCTCACTTCAGCTTGAGTGGTAGGAGAACTGGAGGTCCCAGTGCCTGCTCCAGCCACATACTCACTGCCTCACCCAAGTGCCCAGGCCCCCTTTCTATCCCACCTTGATGCCCAGGGCCCCAGGTCCTCAGTGACTCACACCCACACCAGTGCAGACCGGGCTCCTGAAATAGGGAGCAGAGGCGACATGGCGTCCCCAGCACCTCCTCTGCCCACCCCTGCCCTGCTTGGTCATCCCTGCAGTGAGGCCCTGTGCTCTCCACAAGGTGACTGGGCCACAGAGCTCTGACTACCCCAGTGGCCCAAATAGAGGGTTGTTAAGTGCAGGCTTTCGGAGGGCATCTTTGTGTCCCTGCTGGACCTGCACTGGGGGGGCAGGGACCACTCCTGGGTGTGGAGCCCCAGCCCGGCATGCCCAGCAGGCACTGTATGGCTGCTTTCTGGCCATGAGAGGTGAGCATGGCACTGGGTCCACGCCACAAGTGAGGACCTCCAGCTCAGCAAGGGGAGCCGCTCAGCTCAGGAGAGGCACAGAAGGGCTCTGGCCCTGGCCAACGCTCCCAGCCCCAGCCGTTTATCCCACACAGAGGCAAAAGCAGCCACAGGGGAGACAGCCAAGCAAGCAGTGCTTTGCTTCCAGACATCCACGTCAGGGAAGGGTGGTCTGGGGTCCCCAAGTGGACAAGGGCGTCCCTGGCTAAATCAGCAAACTCCCAGCTAGCCAACAAGGAGAAGCCGCAGAGCTCAGCTGGGCCCTCTGTATCACAGAGCTCCCTCCTGGGACCCGGCCAGGAGACAATCAGCTTCCCACTCCTCAGTCCAGGGCTCTCCTCTGGCTGTGGACTTTCCAGCAGGTGTCTGAACATTTCCCAGCCTATTTCCCAGTCTGAAGAGCGGGCTTGCCACCCCCTATCTCTGAGGCCAGTGCTAGGCCAGGGGAGAACGCGGAGAGAAGCGCACCTCCGCCCGCAGTCCGGGAGGAGGCCGCGGGGGTGGGGTGGGTGGGTGCGCGGGGTCCTTCATTCAGCTCCCACTGCCTGGCTCCTGGGCCCTCCGCCCCGACCGAAGCCGACCCATTCCTAGCTACTCTCCTTCGCAGTTCAGGAAGGTGGAGGTAGGTCCCGGGAGGCGGCTCGGGTTACACCCGCCCCTGGGGGCCCCCTGTATCCGCTGAGGCAGGGGTTGGGAGTGGGGCTTAGGGGTGGGCTGTTGCGGCAGGCCCGGGCCCCTAACCCTAAGTCTTGAGGATCTGAACAGCCTTGCTTTCCCGGTCAGGGCTCCAACAAAATCCACCTGCAGGCTCCGGGCTTGAAGGACACGCCTGGAGGGGCTTCGGGAGGGGGGAGTCCAGGGACCGACCCCCTCCACGTACTACATCTCCCTAGGGAGCCTGAAGCCCAGGACCCTCCCACCGGCTGGGCAGAGAGGCAGCCCATGACCCCTACGGTACTACCAGGGGTGCTTGCCCTTATCCACTTCAAAGGTCCCACCGAACTCCCAGACCCGATCGGGACTCTTCCACCCTCGGCTGCAGACAGGAAAAGCGCCAAATCCTGGAGCCGGGGCGCCGGGCCCTGCCGCCTGCACCCGTCCCCATCCGGAGGCCAGCAGGTTCCAGCCTGTCCCGGGGGAAGGCGGAGCCACCCGCCCCCTCCTCACTGGCCGCCAGCGCCCACGCCAAATCCCGCCCTAGCAGGGAACCGGCACTTGGGGCTCCAGGGACTGGGCAGCAGCCCTTTCCCGCCCAGGTCACCGCCACCGAACTGGGCCGGCACCCGCCGACCCTGGGTCCACGGCGAGGACACTTTATGGGCCTCCCAGGAGGACGCAGTTTCCCCGCCGGGCTGGCGGCCCCTCCTGGTACCCGAAGAGTGCGGACGCGAGAACTGATATCGGGCTCCCCCGGCCCGCAGCGCTCCCCAGCAGCCCGGCTGAGCTCCGAGCGCGAGCCCGGTCGTCGCCGGCGCCGGGGCGCTCCAGGGCGGTCGTCCCCCCACACACGGCCCGCGCTCACCTGTATGGTCTGGTTGGGGTCCCCGCCGGCCACGGGGCCGCCCACCAGCTTGCAGTAGAGGTCCTCGGTGGGGCGCGGGGGCCCGCGCGCCGGGGCCTCCTCGCCGCAGGTCGCGGACGCGGCGATGCGCGCGCCCTCGGCCAGGTTGAAGTACGGCGGGTGAAGGCTGAAGCCTCCGTCCTCCGCGGCCCGCGCCCGCGCGGCTCCCAGCAGCGC